CCCACCTGGTGCTGAAGAGATCTGGGATATCTTTTTTTCACAGCAGTAAAAACAAAAGAAGAAAAAAAGGAAAACCATCACCAAAACACCATAGAATCTCAGAACGACTTAGGTGTTGAGCTAATGCGGGAATTTCTAGTCTGAATTTGTGCTTAAAGTGGAACTAATTAGGTCAGGATGTTTAGACATGCACTCCTTGAAATTGCTAGTATCAAAGGATGAGGTTTTCACTCTGTTTTTTGTCCAAATCCACTGGACAAAGATTTTATCTGTGGTGTCTCCAGGCACATTTTTTAAACAGTTCCTCATCTCCTAGTCAGGGGGAATCCTCTGTCCAGTGTTGTTCAACCTTGTGCTCTCTGCTCAGTGCAGGTGAAGAATTCTCATCCCAGCTGTGGCCATGAGGATCCTTCACATGCTCCTGGTTGTCCTCTCCCTGCTGCTCCAGGGGGCTGCAGGTAAGGAGTGAGGGGAGGGAAGAAGGAGACTGCATTAACTTTTGACCTCTTTCATGGTAAATGACTCTCCTCTTTGTGCAGGACAAGCGTTTCCTAGGCTAGATAATTCTTGTTTGACCCAAAACGGACGCTGCTTCCCAGGGATTTGTCGCCGCCCGTATTACTGGATTGGAACGTGCAGAAATGGATTTTCTTGCTGCAGAAAGTGAGTAGAAATGCAGGAATCTCTGTGGGAATGGCTCATATCCTCATTATTTTTCCCCAGAGGCACAGCTCCTGCCACCTGTCTCACTTCTCTGGTGCCAAACCTGCTGGCACAGAGGGGGAATTCACATCCCATGGCAGCCTCTGCTCTGCTGTCATAAGGAGAATATCTCTGCAGAAAACCTACAGGTGGGTAGCCTGAGACTCTCTCTTCTTCATGCAGGGGGTGGAGTAGCTGAAGAGTCCCTGGATTAACCTTGAAAATCCTTCCTGCTTCTCCTGAATGGCTGCTGGGAATCACCCTGATCCCATCACTGCTAATGGCACCAGTTCCTGCTGCAATGAAAAGCTGTCACAACCTTCCCTTGCAGTGAAAGCAAACATCACCAAGCGACCCAGGCAACACTGTGGAAACTATTTCTTTCCTCTCCTTTAATAAAATCAGTTATGGTGGCACTCATGTGGTTGAACCTCGGGTGATTCTTTGTAGGGAAGGAGGGAAACATTTTCCCTGTGAGAGTGGGGAGGTCCTGGCACAGGGTGCCCAGAGAAGCTGTGGCTGCCCCTGGATCCCTGGAAGTGTCCAAGGCCAGGTTGGATATTGGGGCTTGGAGCAATCTGGGATAGTGGAAGGTGTCCCTCCCCATAGCAGGGGGGTGGAACTGGGTGAGTTTTAAGGTTTCTCCCAACCCAAACCATTCTGCAATTCTACAAATAAGGAGCCCTCAGTACCAAAAGGAGCAGTCATTGCAGTCTCAAAGTAGACCTTCCTTTCCCATTGAAAGAAACAAAATACAGGCTGGAATCTGTGCTTCTGTCACTTTTTCCTTGCCCTCATGGCCTAGCAATGTAGATAAAGCCAAGATATCTCCAGATGTTTCCTTCAGAGAGCCTGGAGGCATCTTAGAAATTTTGTTTCTGAGTGGACCTTATGCAAAGGAAAACTGGGAACATTTCGAATCACATCAGCAACACAAAACAGGAAAAAAATGTAAAAAAAACCCAGAAAGAGAGTAAAAAAATATATTCCCAGGAGTTACGGATGTTCAACATAGTGATTTGGTTTTCATCTCTTCAAAAACAGTTGCTGAACAGTCACACAAGAGTGCCCAGTGGAATATGTTACCAAACTCAGATGGTTTGGACTCCTAATGACCTTCTAGGTGGGTTTGGAGAGGTGACAACATATTTTAAAAAACCTTCTGAAGAGCCAATTGTGGCTCTGTGAGAGGCAGAGTTGCCACTTGTGTTTTTCTGCAGAATGAGTGTTCATGGCTCTTATTGCAAAACACCTCCCCCTGCAATGTTTCTGGGTTTCTTCCATCCCTACTGTTACTTCTATGTTTTATTTCTAACAATTTTATTGCAAATGCATATGAAAAGTCCATAGAACAGTCTCTCTCCATTACCCATAAAGGAAAAGAAATGAAAATAGTTTGTACTTTGATATTTCCTTTCAGGACATCTGAAATTTGGTGAGATTACTCATGCCATTTTTCTCTAGAAATTTTGATTCAGTTTACAGAAGTTCTTTGAATTTAAGAAACTTTGGGGTACCTGGCCTGTGCCAAGGAGCTTTGATCACACACACATCACTGCCAGTCACACTGTGGTTCTCAAAAGAGAAAAGGGACTCTGCCCATGTACCCCAGTATCTTTAATTAGCTGTCAGGTCAAAAGATAGAGCCAGAATTGTTTATGCAGATGTTAATCTCATCATTTACTCAAGATAACTGCATCATCATTAAAGTACTGAGCTTGATTAAATACATTTTGTGTACAGTTTGAAGCACTTTAACACCACTGAAAGACATCCCTAATATTTCCTTTTTTTATTTTCAAGAGAAAACTTCAAGGAGCAGAGTTTGAGGTTCTCCTTTTTGGTCCTAATTGCCTCATCTTCTGTGCTAGATACAAACTCCTTAAATGGAGATAAGATCCTGGTAAAATTAATTAAATACCTTGATTTTAAGAAGGTGAAAGACATATCTTCTCCAGACACTTTGCAGCCTCCTATGAGGACATTTCCCTTTGGAGTATATCCCACCTGCATCAGGCACAGCAGGTCCTCAGCACTGAATTATTACACAACATGTTGACCCTGGCATAATAATTGAAAGTGTCTGATGTCTCTTGCTCAGAAGAACAGGATCTGCAGGTGGGGATGGAAAAATTGTCCAACCTAAGAGCCACAACCCAAAATCTTCCTGAGTTCTGCCAAAGGGGCCCCACCCCTCCTCTGCTTCTCCCTTCCCCTTGTCCAGGCAGAAGTTTTTTGATGGACTGGATGGGATTGTGACTATGTGAAATTTATATTAAACAGGGCCAAGGATGCCCAGTGTTTAAGCCAGGCCCTTGACAGTACTCGCACATAGGATCATACAGACAACGAAAATTTATGATGCACCTTTTTCCTTGAGGAATTGGGTTGGGTAAGAGTAACAGTTGGCAAGTTAACCACAAACGCTTGGCAAGAGGTGAGGCAACTGTAACTTTTGCAATTTTATTCCCTCCATTTTTCAGTTTTATGGCCAGACTTTGGCAGAGACACCAGAAATTCAATTACCATTTTTTCCTACTGCAGAAACAGTTCACATACAAAATTATCTAGAGAATAAAAAGCTGTGTCAGGGTATGTTTGTAAGGGAAATGGTTTGTAGTCATGTTTTCATGTGCATAGAGATAATTTCTGTACTTGGACAGGGCTCTGAGCTAGTTCTGGGCTGACCTGATCTACTTGGAGATGCCCCTGCTCATTGCAGAGGGCTTGGACCTATTCAACTTTCAAAAGTCCCTTCCAATTCAGACTATTCTATGGTTCTACTTAAGAACTTAATATAAAAGTAATGAAAAAGTTACATGACTACGAAATAAAGTGCCAGTCAGCAATGAAAGTATTTCAGTTTAATTTTGGTACTAAAGGTTCTGTAAAACATGGTGTCATTTGCAGAGGTCTTGGTCAATTAGAAACACCAATCATTCAAATTAACTAATGTATCATTACCTATTACAACACACTTCACATATCATGTTAAAATACTGTATGAACAATATTTGTTTGTTGAGTGAAGGGAAGTTTAAAGTAAAATATGACCAGAAAAATATTAAATATCTTAGAGTCATAGAAACATAGCATAGTTTGGATTCTAAGGGACCTTAAAGACTGTTTCATTCCAACTTCCCCAGCATAGACAGAGACACCTTCCACTATCTCAGGTTGCTGCAGGCTCCATGCAGCCTGGTTTTGAACACTTCCAGGGATAGGGGAGCCACAGCTTCTCTGGGAAACCTGTGCCAGGGTCTCATAGACCTCACAGGGAAGAATTGCTTCTTAACATCTAATGCAAACCTGCCTTTTGTCAGTTTAAAACCATTTCCCCTTGTCTTGTCACTGTCTGCCCATATAAAAAGTCCCTCTCTCTCCTTTTCATAATCCCCCTTTAGATACTAAGATGGAATTTAAGGTCTCCCCAGAGTCTTCTCTTTTCCAGGCTGGACACCCCCAGCTCTCTCCAGCTCTTTACAGGAGATGCTCCATCCATGCAGGAATTGGGTCCTATTTCCAATGGCAGAAGAAGCAGAGGTCAACAGCTGGCAGGCTGAGAGAAGACAAGCCAAAACTGAGTGTTCATCTAAGGCATAATGTGGTTTTGGAATGATCAACTGAAGGCCCTGTGGAAGACAGAAGCACCAAAAAAATCAACCAGAGTCCTGGAAAAAAACTCAAGCAGGAGTTTTGGGGCCTGAGGGTCTAAAGACATCTTCTGGCACTGGATTTGCCTAAATTTACATATTTCCCATCAGCTGGAAGGGTGTGCAGGGACATAACCATGATGTATTCACTTCATTTTGGTACATTTTGTTTCACTCAGTCATCTTCAGTGGACACTGGCCAGGAAGGGAATGACATTTATTTTTAGTTCCATATATCCATTCTATGTTCTGCATTTATGGAACAGAAAATCAAATGGGATTGCAGGGAACACAGAGATGCTTTGTATTGCAAGGTTTTAAGTTGCTCCTAAGCAGAGACAGTTCAACCTCCATCCCAAGATGCTTGACACATACCACGGTGGGTTAACGTTTCTTACACAAACTGGAGTGTCACAAGAGGTATTGCACAAAAAACATGGGATTTTCCAGGAAAAAGCTTAAACAGGTTAGGAGAGAAACCATATTTTATCATTGGGAAATGAAAAGAAGCTGGTTTCTGGTTGGATTAGATGCCACCAGAAAAAAAAAAAGAGCAATTTCTGGATTGGTTCAATGAATGGCTGAGAAGAAAACGTACTTGTCAGCCTCTTTTGGGACTCACCTTATAAAGGAGTATCCCAGTCCCAGAGCCAAAATCTTCAGGAGGGAAGGGACCACCAGCAAGTCTTGCTTGGCTTCAGGGTTCACTTGATACCTGGTAATGTCTCAATTCTTTTCTTTCAATGTCAGCTTTTGTGTTTTCCTCAAAAATCCAACTCCAAAACAAGCTCCCAAACCTCTGTGCTATTAACTTTAATTTGTATGTAACTAAAAAAGGTAAACCTAAGATTTCAGAATATTGGACCTGTTGAATAATTAATTTGAATATATGCTAATACCTAGAATGCTTTAATAAAAATTCTCTGCTTCTTAAATCCTAGGAAAAAAAAAATGTTTGATTGGTTCAGGTTACTTTAGAGAGGTCTAGAGAGAAATTGGTGACTTCTCAGTGGAAATCTACATGTCTATATCTGTATATTTCCATTAAATATATAGCCTTGGAATATAAACATATTATAAATAGTTATATAATATTTTCATAATGCATAATAGGTATAAAATGATATAATATTTATATATTTTAAGATATACTTTTTATTTTTTATATACTATATATTTTATTTGTGTCTCTATGCTAAAACCCTTATTTCATTTTCAGAATTGTTCACTTTGTCTCCTTATTTCTCCTGATATTTTCAATTCTATAGAAACTTGTGTAAACTTCTAATACTAACTTTGAAACAGCTGTGGGTCACCCTCTATCAATTCTGTTTCCAACAATAGGACATTTCAGCACAATCTCATTTCCATTCCTTTCTTGAGAGACCATCATTTGTGACAGAACATTCCTAATGCCAGGATAAGAAACTGCCACTTCTTTATCCATAAGCACCCTTCTAGGCTATCTTATCCTATAAAGCTAATCCTAATATTAGTTTAAACTCTTGCAATGAGGGTATCATGTTTGCTTTTAAAATTTTCTTTTCAAATAAGAGTTGATTTGATTGTACTTTTCCATTCTAGAATCTCTGCCTGTAGATCAAGACTGGAGATGTTGATAAACTGATAAATTTAAACATCAATAAATTTAAACATTACAAAATGAACTTTTTTTTTCCCCCTGAAGTCTAATTTTTACAGCATTATCGCCTGGTTTTGCTTTATGTTGTTTATTTACTACACAAAACCATTTAGCTAAAAATAAAGTTATGGAAGTATTCAAGACCAGACTGGATGGGACTTTGAACAACCTGGTCCAGTGAAGGTGTCTCAGCCTCGGGGGTTGGAACAAGATGAGCTTCAAGGTTCCTTCCAATCCAAACCATTCTGGGATTCCATGATTCTGTTCTGGCTAAGGACTATTTGCAAAATGGAAAAGAAACCTGAGCAACCAAACTATTAAAGTAACTTAATGATCACGTGCTCTGAAAACATTTTGCCCCACACAGTAGTCAGGATCTCCTATGGGTTTTATTGATTATTTTTGAAAGCTTGAAGATAAAATTAATATAAATGTGATTTTTATGAACACAGTGTTTGTGTAGTCCAGGAGACTGCAGATCCCAGGAACTGTCTCTCTTACATCTTTCTTGGTCCTTTTCCCAACAGTGCCACAGCAAAGCCTCAGCCATGAAGATCCTTTACCTTCTCTTTTCTGTCCTTTTCTTGGTGCTCCAGGCTTCTCCAGGTAAGGTGGGAAAGAGATGCTAGAGAGGGATTTTTGTTGCACCTGAAGAAAAATTCCCAGCACGCTTTAACCACTTCTGTTTCAAATTGCTAGAAGCCGGTCGGGAATTAATCAAGGGGGAGGAAATATTCTGTTCTTGTTGCAGGTTTGTCTTTGCCCCGGAGGGAAATGCTTTTCTGTAGAGGAGGGAGCTGCCACTTTGGAGGGTGCCCTTTCCACCTGGTCAAAGTTGGAAGCTGCTTTGGGTTCCGCTCCTGCTGCAAACAGTGAGTTTGGGGTTCACCAAGGCTCATCTGCAGGATGAGCAGAGAAATAGGAAATATCCTGCCTGTCTCCTAAACCCTGAGGTGTTCCTGATTATTTAAATTAGGTATAAGGGGGGGGAAAAAAACTATTATGCCATGAGGACAGTCAAATGTTCTGTGTTGACTCAAGTGTTGCATGTTTCAAAGAAGCATTTGGACATATCTCAGGCACCTCAGGGTGAGGTTTTTGTTGTAAAATTTGTTGGAAAATTAAACTATCATATGAAAAACAGCCTTCTATTTTCACTCAGTAACAAATCCACTCACTCCAGAATCTAGAGATATCAATTTAATTCCCTGCTTTTCCTGAAACAATAGAGAAACAGTCTCCTACTCACAGGTATGATTGCATAGAGTTGTCCCCACATGACTAAAAATGACATGAACTATTTTGGGAAGAATTTGTGTCCAGGGGGACAAAAAGCACAGGCTGAGAGTGAGTAGGGAGGGAATATAAGCAGAAAGAAAATCTGAATATTCTTTTTTCCTTTGTGCAGGCCATGGAATGTAAGAAATGTTGATGAGCCATTCATTGAAGACCAATGAAAATTTCTTCTAAGCCTACAAATTTGCTTGGAATCTCCTTACTCCTAAACCCACTGGATCCTGCTGCAAAGCCTCACACTCCTTTCATTGCCAATGCAAAAGGCTTTATGAAATAGAGTAAATCCAAATGTGTTCTGCATTGCTTCCCCTCATTCTAAATAAATTGTTGTTGCTTAACATTAGTCACTGAAACATGCACTGAAACTTGGGTCATGATTCTGCCTGGGGTTTGACACACAAACCTCAGAGGGCAACAATTTATGGTGCAAACTGCTCCTTAATTCGAGGTTTTCTGAGCCATACAGCTCTGCAGGTCTACACAGACCTTAACCCACAGTGCCAAGAGAAAGGCTGGCTAAAAGAACTCAGCTCACCTTTGTGGGAATATGTTCAGGTGCCAAAATCCCTTATTTCTTACTGTGCTTAAATATTTTCTTGGGAAAACAGGAATGGTTAAAACCCCTCATTGCCCACCTGGAGACCCTGAGCCCACTGTGACCCTCCTTGCCACAGACCCTGCTGGGAGCTGTGCTGCTCCACACCCCGTCCCACCTCATCATCCCACAGGGAGGGACTCTCTTGTCCCCATGAGCACTTGGGATGATCCCATGGGGACATCCCAAGGAGACCTTCGTGGACCTTAGAGGAAAACAGATCTCCCAGGGGAGCTGTGCAGGTGCCCCTCAAGGTGACATCACAAAGGAGTCCATGAACCAGATGGGTAACTCCGGTGGCCCTGCAGGGTGGGACCTGGGGGCCTCATCCTCTCCACTCACCTGGACACAACTTGAAGTTATAACGACTTCCCTCTGCAAAGGCTGACCTCACCCTGGCTGGAAAATGCCTCCATGATCATGGTCCCTGAATGTGTGTTCACAACAAGTGGCTCTGGTTCTAATGATAAAGATTTCTCTGTCCAAGGATGCCACCCTGGCCAATTTCAAATTTCCAGCTGGGTATGAAACACTTGGCAGAGATGCCAGGCTATTGATTATTGGCATTTGCTTCCATCCTGTTTCACTGGGTAATTTCATCCACCTCTCACTTCCTATGAAGATGCCCCTATCCTGCAACTGCCTTTCTCCAAAACACAGGACATCATTAATGAAATATTTCTGATTTGCCTCAGGGCAATGGCTTGGCAGCAAAACTCTGCCCAGTGATGGAGTTACGGAGCAGAAGGCTCAAAAGAGTTTTTAATTTTCTGCCTTTCTCAAAAAGCAGACTCATACACACCAAGACATAACCCACATAGATTGAGTTACTGGGGAGTGTCCAGCCAGGAGAAGAGAAGGGGTTGGAGAGACCTCAGAGACCCATGCAGTGACTCAAGGAGATCCAAAAGAGCTGGAGAGGGATTTTTGGGCCAGGGCCTGGAGTGACAGGACAAGGGAGAATGCCTTCAAACTGAGAGAGGACAGGGTTACACTGGATATTAGGAAGAAATTCTTGGCTCTGAGGGTGGTGAGGCCCTGGCACAGGTTAACCACAGCAGCTGGGACTACTCTATCACTGGAAGTGTTCAAGGCTAAATTACACATGGCTTGGAGCAACCTGGAATAGTGAAAGGAGACCTGACCCATGGCAGGAGGTAGATTGGGATGACCTTCCCAGTGGCTTCCAACCCAAACCAGCCCAGGATGAATCTCTAAAAGAAGGATTCTGCTTCCCCAGGACTGCACTGGTGCCTGTGGCTGCACCCACCAGTTCCTGTGCCCATCCCAAGGATTTCCCAGCTGGCCCCACAGCCCGTTGCCACTGTGCCACGGGTGTCACAAGAGCTGTTGCATGGGGACAACGGTGACATTGATTGCCACAGCCCCAGGAGGCCCCTCAGCCTCTGCCCCTGCAGCAGGGAGGGACCAGGGGCAGCCCCAGCACCCCCACACACACGGGGCACTCCCGGCTTGGCCCAGGGCTCTGGTGTCAGCAGAAGGAAGGGTCTGTCCCACCCCCTGGGAACAGGGCAAAACCAGCGTGTGTGGGGCACAGGGACACTCCCCGAGCTGGGCTCTTCACACAAGTGATTCCAGGTTGGTTTGCTACAGACCATTGCTGCCTTGCTGGACTCTAAACCAGCACCTTTCTCACGTGAGTCACTGGCGAGTCACTTGCAGCCCAACAAGACACTTCCTTGGCCTCTTGCTCCTTCCTGGGTCAGTGCTGCACAGGGATGGGGAATGGGCTTGCTGGGAATCCTGGCAATAATCTGGAGTTGAGGATGAATACTTGCAAGTTGAGTGGGAAAAACTTTCCTGACTTCAGGGGATTTTGCAGGGTGTTTGGGTAACCAGCTTTGGGATGGCTTGGGAGATGGAGGGCATTGGATAAGATTTCATTTAGCTTGGCATGTCCAGGCACAAAGGTCCCCCTGAATCCTTGACCCTGCTTTGTTTCTTGCTGTGTCCCCTGTGCAGCCCCGAGAAGACCCAGGACAGGCACCAGCCATGCGCATCCTCTACCTGCTCTTCCCCTTGCTCCTGCTGCTGGTGCACAGAGCTGCAGGTGAGAGGGACACAGGGGAGATGGCTGAGGGTGAACCCCCATCACTGGGGTTTGCAGCTGCTGGTAAGTGACCACAATTCTCAGGTGGTTCTAACATTTGGCAGGGATTTGCTGTGAGGAAAGTCTGGGCAGCAGAGGATCCAGCTCAGCAACTCCAGTAGCTCATGCTGGCCTTTCCCTCTGTCTGTCCCCACATGCACACGTTGCTGTAGAAAAAACGAACTGTGACTGGAGAATTTAAGATGTTGGGTTTGGTGTTGAGTTCCCATACAGGACTGGGACTCAGAGCCAGCAGCAATTCCTCTGGAACCAGACACATTTTTGACAGTTATTCCACATCACTTTGACCTCTTTCCTTTTTGTGCAGGATCCTCCTTGCGTCCAAAAACTAAGGAGCAATGTGAGCGAGAAAAGGGATATTGCAGACGTCTGAAGTGCTCTTTCCCTTATGTCATCGCAGGAAGATGTTACAGGTTTCACTATTGCTGCAAAAGGTAAGTTTTGGGATTACAAAAGCTGCTGTCATGGCAGAAGGAGTAGCTAAAGGCTGAGTAGCTAAAGGCTCAGCGTCCTTCAGGCTCCAAGGCAGAGCTGAGGGGAGGGAAGGGAAGGTGTTTGGAGCTGCCCTGGGAGTGGGGCTGCAGCAGCCCCAGGTCAGCCAGGGCCACCCCAGTCTCCTGCAGTCCCCAGGGCCTCATTCAGGCTCTGCAGAGGATTCATCCAGGCCAACAAAGAGAGAAACTTCCCTGGTTTTGGGCAACACTCAGGACATGATCCAGGTGTTGCTGCACCTGCACACACCTGGAGCCAGGGCTGCCAACACTGACATAGCCCAGGTCCAACCTGCCTGACCTGAGGACTGCACCTCTGCAGGCAGGGAAAGATAAAACAGATGATGGTCTTGTTTCCTTTCTTTCTGCAGAATGTTGTATTGACACTCTGAAATTCCTGTGAAGAAGATGCCATTGGCTTCTGTCTGCTGGCCCCATGTCCTGCTGTCCCCTGCCCTCCGTGCCTGTGCCGTGCCCAGCTGGGCTGACAGCAGCAGTGGCAGCTGCTCCTGCTGGGTGCTGCTGGGCTGGAGCCCTGTGCTGCCAGCCCCGCTGTCTTTGGGGCAGGGGCTGCTT